AGCAGGGTCAAGGTAACCCTCAAGCATGTTACTAAAAGAAGAACTTCACCCAAAAGGGGTTTATTTCTCCCCCCCCCTGTCATATTTGCAACCTAATTTTTTCGAGGGGGGAACAGGTACCTAGTTTTGACAGGTGCCTGTTCCCACTTCAACTTGGATCACCTAAGCAAGTTCTCCTCCCTCCCTCCTTGCCCGTAGTCCTCTGGAACATGTGCCAGGTCCCAGGAGACTGCATGACCATTCATGAGGCGCAGTGTGGCTTGCACATGTGCAGTTGGCAGCCAGCTGTGAAGCCGCAAGCAGTCACAGCCAGCTGCCCACAGTTAAGATGCCAGTGCCAGGATGGAAGATCGGTGAAGAAACCAGCAAGTGAGGACAGATCTGGATCCAGGGACAGGTGAGTGGCTGTTTACCTCCCTGGTGGTATTCCCGAGTGTAGCTCGGGGTAAAGTTTCAGCACCACAAGCGGTAACCCCAAGCTACACTCGGGAATACCCTGCAGCATTGCTCCGGGATCTCTTCTTCACTTACCTTGTCCTGCGCTCCCGCGATGTCCCCCTGCAGTGTCCCTGGCAATGTCCTCCAACCGATGCCGGAATCCGTCTTCAGGGTTCCGTTCCCTGCAACATCAGGACGTATGGGGGACGGAACTGGCGAGAAATTTGAAAGTTGTAAAAGTGACATTCACTAAATTCACTAAAATCACCATAGTAAAACATTCCTGTATCAAAGCATTTCACATACATTTTGTCCGTACTGCTTTGTCCTGTGCCCTGCCTGCATTATTACTGTTCTTTCTGCCTGGAAAGTGAGAAACGTCCATGGCATCCAAAAAGCGTCCCTTTAGGTCAAAAGTGGTTAGCTAGAGAACAGCGATAGTAAATCAGAACCACTTGCAGAATTGAGTGATAATGATTTGTGGGGAAATTCGTCATCAGACACTGAAAACGATTTTGCCACTTTGCTCAGTGATGTGCGAACTTGGCGCTATATTTCAAATTTCAGTGTTTTTGGTTTGATTATATTATTGAATTAAATTTATTATATTATTATTTTTTATGATTATTTATTAAATTATAATTTATGATTTCGTGTTTCAAATTTTAACATACCCGGGATGTTTACTAGACCAGGGGCGGACTGACAACTCATGGGGCCCCCGGGCAATAGGGAATCATGGGGCCCCTGTGTCCTTGCCCAAACTCAGAAAAGCCTATGAAAAAGGTACCAGGGGCATCTCATGGGGCCCCCTACTGACCCCGGGCCCTTGGGCAGTGCCCGAGTTTCCAAATGGTCAGTCCGCCCCTGTACTAGACTCTTGTTCAGACAGATTTCAGTTAGTTATTCCTATTCCTAAAAAATTGCAGACCTACAATAAAAAAAATACATATTTCCATGCAAAAAAATGTACCTCTTTGAGCACAGAAATATGGACATAATCAGTCCACTAGGGAGGCTACTAAAAGTCAGCATGTATAAAAAGGATGTTTGATCCTGTCTTTTCTGATCCTCCCCTTCTTCTACTGTCCCCAATCCATCTGCTATTAGTACAGAGCTCTAGGAGTCACTCTGCACATGATCAGTTTAATGTGTATTGCTAGAAAGTTTTTTCTTCTTCTTTGGGAGGGTGCATGTGATCAGCACAGGGCCAATCAGCACTGTCCAGACAGAGGATCAGGGGTTATACAGCCTCATAAGACAGTCAGTGGAGAATGAAAACTCCTTCTACAAGCTTTAGCCAATCCTCAGCCAGATACCTATAGAAATCACAACAAAAATAGAATGTGACCTGATGCACCCAGTGTTGTGCCTCCATCCCCTAATATACCAATACAACCAATTTATTTGTCTTGGGACTTTAAATGAGGCACAACGACAAACAAAAAAACAGTTTCCAACATAAATTTTTAATACATTAGTAAAATTCTCATTGCATACAAAAAAAGGATAAAATGGTAACAAGCTGATATGTAATAAATCCATAATAATGCATTTCATACATAATTGGATATACTATTGACCTTATACAATCCAGCTGTCAATACATAATTACATTAAAATTGCATCCAAAAACTTGACGCGTTTCGTGACTGTTTGTTCACTTCTTCAGGAGTAGATCCATGTATAATATCTGCAAGGTAAAACATCAATATGTAGCATACCTAGTGGTATCTTGTAATATATTAGGCGGTTCCAATCTCAAGGGTCACCAGAGGGACCCTAATACTTACAAGTCAGCTAAAAATACATATGGCAGTATTTCTAAATGGTGATCACCAGGTGAGTCTCACCCGGGAGCTCTGGGAATGTGATTCCGCGAGAACCCAAAGGGACAAGCCAGCAGCAGATTCAAGTGGGTTGGTGTCACCCAAAGTATATACTATAGAAATATATTTAGGTATACATTATAGTAATAAATGAATGAAAATTATCACTGATCTGGATTTCATCATTCATTACTATTATGTATAACTAAATTTCTTTCTGTAGTATATACTTTGGGTGCCATCATCAAATCAGCTTCTAGGGGAGGCTATTTACCGCTTGCCTATCGCTCTATAGTAGAAGTACTGCTACAGGGCGGCAGGACTGCGCAAAATCACATATATATACGTGATTTGCATTTCTGGGTAGGGGGGTGCATGCGCCTCCGCCCTACCTGCGCCTCCATTGGTGGCTATGGATGTCAATCACCGGGTCCCGGCTGGAGATTCCCCTCTGGCACTCAGCGATTGCCGAGTAAAACTGACAGGGGAGAGACCTGTGTGTAAACAACAGGGGTCTCTCTCCTGCCAGCAAGCACTTGCTGCTGTGTATTTCTCTGCGCAGCAAATAAATACACAGCAGCATGTTTCCTTAGTAAAACACACATAGCACAATGTAAAACAGCACACAGTTAACCCTTTTATTGCCCCAGATGTTAACCTCTTCCTGCCCTGTGTCATTAGTACAGTGTCAGTGCTTTTTGTTAGCTGATCGCCGGCATTACTAGTATAAAAAAAATATAAAAATACCAGTATATATACTACCATTTGTAGATTAATTTACATGTATTGGGATTTTTTTTTTAGCAAAGACATGTAGCAGAATATATTTTGGCCTAAATTTATGAAGAAACTTGATTTTTTAAATTTTTTTTACTGGATATGGGTTATAGCAAAAAGTCAAAAATATTGGGTTTTTTTTTTCAAAATTGTGGGTCTTTTTTGTTTATAGCGCAAAAAATAAAAACTGCACAGGTGATCAATTACCACTGAAAGAAAGATCTATTTGTGTGAAAAAAAGGACATAAATTTTCTTTGGGTGCAGCGTTGCATGACTGCTCAATGGTCAGTTAAAGTAACCGCAAAAAATGGCCTGATCAGGAAGGGGGGTAAATCCTCTGGAGGGCAAATGGTTAATAGGGGAAGAGGTGTTGATGAAGTGTTTCGATGAGACCACATAGCTGAATGGCTTAGTCTAGGAATGGAGGTGGCTGAAAGTGTCAGATATTAAGCCCAGACATTCCCCCAATCCGTTTTATGTTTCTTTCACCCAGAGATAGCCTACAGCTAAACTCAACAGACGTCACAGGCTTTTCATTTTAAGAGAACTCCTTTTTCTTTATTAGGGTTGTGTGCTTGTTATGTTTTGGGTAAGTTTAGACTTACAGAGGTACAGATTTTAGCAACCAAAATCTTTAGCAAAGAAAAGCATCCCTATCATTGCTCCATCAAGCATTCATGATTTTTCTTAGAGAACGGTAATCTGTTTCCTCGTATTTACAGGTGACTACAATGATCACAGTCTGCAGCAAACAGATTACAAAAATACAAATTTCTTAGCACGTTATGTTTCTGGAGTAAGATCAATTGCTATGGGCAATATAGCTGCTTTTGATTTTACTAATGCTTGAAAATATATAATAATGGCTTAGATTAAGATATAAGGGCCCTGGTGCAAGTCTTGGCAACCCCTCACATACACAGCTCATTCCTCCCCCTTTTATTGCAACCCTTTCCTATTACTTTACTGCCTTGCTACAGGATGGTAGACCAGTGACCTGAGCAGACTTCATAATACTGTTGTAATTACAAGGTATCAGTCCTTGCCAGACTCCCAGTATTTAAAAGGATTGTCTGCCCTGATGAAGAGAGACTTCTAAAGTCTCTGAAATGTGTTGGGTGTTTTGGATGAGTAATAAATAGTTTCTGGACTATAAGAATAGCACGGCACTCCTTTTCCCATTACTTCTGAATATAGTGCTCCAAGGGTCCAACCATGGCCTCTGTACTCTGCCTACTGGAAAGCATGTCACACCCAAAGATCCAGAGTTCAGTTACTCATCTGTCTATTGACCAGAGTCCTGCAGAGATGACCAGCTGGAGGTACTAGCAAGAGATCCAATGCCTTGGTCATGTGATCAGTCAAGTGCAGGAAATTTGTTGGGTCTCATGATGGCCCTGGTTAAAGTCTCCCTGTAAGCCATGAAAGTTTTCTGTGATTGCTGTTTCTTATCCAAACAGGACGTGACCTGTTAGCTATAGGGTACTGTACATATAAAGTATATTGTAATGGTTTTTATCTAGTTTTTCACATTCTTACATGTTCAGATAAGATATTTTCTTTATTAATTTGTATGTAATGAATTCTAGATTTTTTTTCCGATTGGATCTCTGTATTTCACTTGCGCAATCAGCCTGTTTGACCATCAGCTACTTAGATAAAATCTCAACCACACAGAAACTATTTGTTTCTAGTTAGTCAGACCTGACTGGTAGACTTGCACTGAGAAAAAGTAAGAATAAGACACAGCGCTACTAATCAAGAAGCCTTTAAATAAAACCAGATGTTTAGGGCAGTTATGTATCAAAGCTCCAGGACTGGGATGTTTTTTAACATTTGACCTCACTGGGTTGTGCAATTAACTACCTTTTTATCTTAGTCTTCATTCATATGAAAAAAAGACTTTGATGTGTTTTCATTATAGTTTTGTCTTTGCTGAATTTTTTTGGGTACAGATCCTTAAATCCAAAGACTTAACATCACCAATGCAGCGCTACATAGACAGTAAAGTAGTGAAGACGAGAGCAGAGGGCGAGTGGTTGTCATTTGACGTAACAGAGGCTATCAAGGAATGGCTTCGCCACAGAGGTAAGTCCAGTCCAGTTAGAGGACCTTCTCTATCTATCTATCTATCTATCTATCTATCTATCTATCTATCTATCTATCTATCTATCTATCTATCTATCTATCTATCTATCTATCTGTCTGTCTGTCTGTCTGTCTGTCTGTCTGTCTGTCTGTCTGTCTGTCTGTCTGTCTATTTATTGGGTCTCATCATTTCTCTTACAGATAGGAATCTTGGATTTAAAATAAGTTTACATTGTCCTTGTTGCACCTTTGTACCTTCAAATAACTACATCATCCCAAACAAAAGTGAAGAGCTGGAAACCAGATTTGCAGGTAAATGAATAGTTCCATTCTTTCTTTTATAAAAAGGCACTTGCTGTTAATTTGATTAACTACTAAAGGATCAAGTTGATATGGATTGCTAGTCCCCTTTCTCATGGGGTGGACTCCACAGAGTCCGCTTGCTCAGTGGGGAATTTGTCCACAGATCCCCGATGAGCAAGCAGATGGCTGGCCCGTGTCTGCTCCACTTATGCAGAGTGGACACAGACACAGCCCGCTGTCCTCTATGGGCGGTCAGATGTAAATGGACTGCCTGCCTGTGTACACCAGACTGCCATCTGATTCGTTCCGCTAGACAGATGAGGAACAGGTCCTCATCCATCTGTTTTTTAGCGGATAGGATTGGATATAGGTGGGTGAAAAAGTCCATTAACATTCACCACTTCACAGAGGATAATGGAGGGTCTGATCGGGTCCATCTAAAAAACTGACAGGTGGACTTGACTGGCCTGCCCGTTGAAAGGGGCCTTGGATTTTCTGCCAACTGAACACTCACCACAAAAGTTACATATCAATGTTTTCTGGATCCTGGGGTGTTATACCCCAAATATTTTCTTATACGTGTTGGGGGCTCTGGAGGTGAGACCTCTTTGGTCTTCACATCTGCTCTAGCTATTACAACGTTACATTTTTTTTTTTAGTTATGTTATGGATACAGCAGGAGTGGGAAGACCTTATGGAGGTGGGGACAAAACCAGGAATAGCGTAGGGGGTTTTAAGCATATCTAAACCCAAAAAAAAACCAATGTAATAAATTGCATCTTCCCACCCTTAGATGTGGTGGTTATATTAGTTTTATTTTTTCAGGCCTTTTTATTATTTTCATCTGTTGATCCTGTCAGTAACATACTTCCTGCCCTAGAGTGACAATGCATACCCACTGTAATGTACAAAGAATGTTGTTATCACCCTAGGTGCTCTCCTAATCTCCAAAACTTAGGTGGAAGTGTTCTATAAAAATAGAACAGAAAGAGGCCACCTGAAATGACACGAATGACTAGTGTCATAGTCATATCTCCGGCTCACTTAACATGTAAGTGTGGATCCATAAACCCAAGAAATGCATACTAAAACAATATGGTAGTGTGACCAGAGCACCCCTACCTAGAAAAAGGAGGTTACTGAATGATCCACGCGGAGTAATATGGGTTCAAAAATTACAAACAATATTTTATTTGATCACATAGATCATAAGGAGGTTAAACATGAGCACGGTGAACATGTCAAACAGATAAAATCATTTTTAAAAGCACTTAGCGTCTTCATTTCAGGGTCATTTTGGCAAGTAGAGTACCATATAAGGCAATATAGGGTAATGGTGTGGTTTGATCCTAGGTTTCCATAAATCTCCAACTTGTATTAGAATGAACCATATAATCTGCAGATATGTTCTCAATATGAGCCAGGATGTGTAGAGTAGCCTCCTGGTGTGTAGAAACTGGAACATAAAAATAAAAAATAGATATATATGAAGATATGGGAGCTGAATCGCACCTAAGCCACACCAAACCTCCCTATACAGTAGTCAGTGGACACTTTCATTACCTTCTCAGTTGTAAGGCTGTCATACCCGCTTCTCAAATGTGGGGACTTCCTGGGTAACCACCCCAAGTGAAACAAAGTCCACAGTACCAAATGATTCTGGGGATATATATAAAGATTATTGTATAGATCACAGGCATCAAGTAAAACCCTGAAAGCAGAGACAAAATATAGGTATATTACCATCAATAAAGATCAAGAAGACTCCCGTCGACTTGAAATAGGATCAGGTCCTTGATGCTTGTTCAAAGGTGCATATGGGGGTGGGAAGCCAGGTAGTCACAATGCGTGAATTCCAAACACATATATTATGTATGTAGCAGGCCGTGAGTACCTGAGTCTAAATACCCAATAAAGGGTTTCAAAAATTACTCAATCTGAGAAAGATGAAGCGGTTTTAAATAGGATATGGCTTTGTCACAGCATACAATGCCTAAGTAGGATAGCGTATATATGTATATACATTATCCTCTGAAGAGGATTTCCAAAAAATTCCCCAAAAATGCAGGGTAAATTAGGCCCATATGACATACCCTCTTAACTCCATATATGCTCTATGAATCTAAACAGCAGTGAGCTAAAATAACTTGCCACCGGTGGAAGGTATATTCCCATAGGGGATTGCCGTTTGCGAACCGCTGTAATAGTAGCCTTATGGTGGTTTTCAGAGGGCCTCGTGCCTTCCTAGCAAGGAGCTGTGACACCGCCGAACGGTCATTGCCAAAATGACCCTAAAAATGAAGACGCTAAGTGCTTTTAAAAATGATTTTATCTGTTTGACATGTTCACCGTGCTCATGTTTAACCTCCTTATGATCTATGTGATCAAATAAAATATTGTTTGTAATTTTTGAACCCATATTACTCCGCGTGGATCATTCAGTAACCTCCTTTTTCTAGGTAGGGGTGCTCTGGTCACACTACCATATTGTTTAGGAAGTGTTCTATACTTCATAGATTAGAACGGGGAAAGATAATTACATTGTTTGAAATTTCAACCCATAATAAAGCAGGATTTGTATTGGCCCACCAGACTCTACCTATGACAGAAATACTACTATTTGGCTAGACTGACCCCACTTGGTGGGCAGCTGTTCATACAGATTCGTAGTCACAGTAATCTATAAGAAATAATCAGACTTCACTATGACAGATTGTTGCAATCGTATTAAAAACAAGAATTGTGATGGATTTCTGTACTTTGCAGAGGAAAAAAAAAATAAAATAATTTAGAAAAGGCCATCCTGTAAAAGAAGCACAAAAATTCTTACGTGCCCTATGTCTCATGCCCATGATCTTCTCCTGCTTGTGGAGTAACACAGGCTGAAGAATCAGCATCTCATCTTTCTGAATGTCATATTTGCTGTGTGCTGTGGTTCCACCTATAGGCTACTACATTACTACTGTGTCCATGCAGAACTGTGGGTATGTAGTGACTGGTGGCTGAGACCATAGTGCACAGAGGTTGACATGGACAACCACCACATCCAGAAGTGTCAAATGCTGAAACTTCTTCAGCCATCATAGTGCTACATAAGAAGGAACGACACGGGATGGGTAAGCGTTATGACTCTGTTTTTACAGGGAACATTTTGATTTTTTTTAAGAGGTTATATTGAAATCTTAAAGCTTAGTGTGCACATACACAGAGATTTAATCTACCTTTTTCTGAACATCTTTTTAAAAGGTATTGATGACCCTTTCTCATACCCCATTGTCGATCACAAGAATTCGAAGCCCGGTCAAAAAAAGCATAGCAGCCACACCCCTCATCTATTACTAATGCTGCTACCGTCGTACAGGCAAGAGTCGCAGCAGCCGAACCGGCGGAAGAAACGGGCATTAGATGCTGCTTATTGTTTTAGGTGAGTAACTGTGTTAAATAATGTAGCTGTACATTATTTGAATACTCAGGTCATGTAGACACAGACTCAGTATTAAAGTGGAATTAAGATGACGAAGCGCTGAACTCCCAGCTTGGAGTAAGTTCTGAAAAAAAATATGTAGTTAGGTTGCTTGGTAAATTTAGTTTTTGGCTTTTGTTGTAGTCAGAGGAGCAGTGATTGTTTGGGCTGATCTGTTCAGAGCTTCACATGCTGAATGTTTGATTACTTTCCCCAGCCTCTAGAAGACGTTTCTAGAGCTTAGGGAGAATTCAAATGTCCAAACTTGAATATTAAGCAAGGCCTAGCCAATCCCTGGGGAGGTGTGTCCAGATGCTGCTAGGCTGCTGTTAAATAGTCTGGAGCCCTGAGATGATTGCCTTTTTTCAACCTGTGGGGATGAGTCTGTGAGCTGAGAGGAAAGGGGCTGCTTGTTCCTGGAGCCTTTTGGACTGAATGTTGGACTGCTTTGCCAGAGGTTGCACCTGTGCACTGTTTATACCAGGATCCAGTGAGTTAGAGCCTCTTTCTGAACAAAACTGCTTCATGGTCCCCAGCCCCTACAAATAATATGATTAATATGCTGGAATGTGGCAAATCTCTTTTGCCTGGTTGGACTCCAGTGGGATTTAGTGGAAATGCATCTTCTTGTATAGAGTAAAAGAATGAGTGCCCCAAGCCATAGGGATTTGTCCAACTATAAATCTTTACATATCACAACAGAAGGATCTTATCAAGAGTTGAAAACTGGGGTTATGCACAAATGCTCCTTCATCAGGGCTTGGTATTGGTGTGCAACTGGAATCTGAAATAATGGTTACTCCTAAATTTTAATTCTTCACAAACTGTGGTTAGGCACTCAATCAGTGAGTTGTCTGGCAATCAGTTTAATGGGGCACACAGAGCAGAACAAAATAGGTTCAAACCATTACAAGTTTTAAGTTACAAGTCTTCTAAGATTTTTGTATTTTAACCAGAACAAAGAGACATGAAGGCTTCCTTTGATGATCTTCTGAAAATACTAGTTGGCTGGTTGTCTTTAACACTCAGTCAGGGAACTGGATCAAATATGTAGACAAAGTCATAATGAAAGCCAGTCAAGTTGTACAGTCAGGTCCATAAATATTGGGACATCGACACAATTACTATCATTTTTGGCTCTATACACCACCACAAGTGATTTGAAATGAAACTAACAAGATGTGCTTTAACTGCAGTCTGTCAGCTTTAATTTGAGGGTATTTACATCCAAATCAGGTGAACGGTGGAGGAATTACAACAGTTTGCATATGTGCCTCCCACTTGTTAAGGGACCAAAAGTAATGGGACAATTGGGTTCTCAGCTGCTCCATGGCCAGGTGTGTGTTATTCCCTCATTATCCCAATTACAATGAGCAGATAAAAGATCCAGAGTTCATTTCAAGTGTGCTATTTGCATTTGGAATCTGTTGCTGTCAACTCTCAAGGTGAGATCCAAAGAGTTGTCACTATCATTGAAGCAAGCCATCATTAGGCTGAAAAAACAAAACAAACCCATCAGAGAGATAGCAAAAACATTAGGCATGGACAAAACAACTGTTTGGAACATTCTTAAAAAGAAGGAACGCACCGGTGAGCTCAGCAACACCAAAAGACCCGGAAGACCACAGAAAACAACTGTGGTGGATGACCGAAGAATTCTTTCCCTGGTGAAGAAAACACCCTTCACAACAGTTGGCCAGATCAAGAACACTCTCCAGGAGGTAGGTGTATGTGTGTCAAAGTCAACAATCAAGAGAAGACTTCACCAGAGTGAATACAGAGGGTTCACCACAAGATGTAAACCATTGGTGAGCCTCAAAAACAGGAAGGCCAGATTAGAGTTTGCCAAACGACATCTAAAAAAGCCTTCACAGTTCTGGAACAACATCCTATGGACAGATGAGACCAAGATCAACTTGTACCAGAGTGATGGGAATAGAAGAGTATGGAGAAGGAAAGGAACTGCTCATGATCCTAAGCATACCACCTCATAAGTGAAGCATGGTGGTGGTAGTGTCATGGCGTGGGCATGTATGGCTGCCAATGGAACTGGTTCTCTTGTATTTATTGATGATGTGATTGCTGACAAAAGCAGCAGGATGAATTCTGAAGTGTTTTGGGGAATATTATCTGCTCATATTCAGCCAAATGCTTCAGAACTTATTGGACGCCGCTTCACAGTGCAGATGGACAATGACCCAAAGCATACTGCAAAAGCTACCAAAGAGTTTTTTAAGGGAAAGAAGTGGAATGTTATGCAATGGCCAAGTCAATCACCTGACCTGAATCCGACTGAGCATGCATTTCACTTGCTGAAGACAAAACTGAATGGAAAATGCCCCAAGAACATGCAGGAACTGAAGACAGTTGCAGTAAAGGCCTGGCAGAGCATCACCAGGGATGAAACCCAGCGTCTGGTGATGTCTATGCGTTCCAGACTTCAGGCTGTAATTGAATGCAAAGGATTTGCAACCAAGTATTAAAAAGTGAAAATTTGATTTATGATTATTATTCTGTCCCCTTACTTTTGGTCCCTTAACAAGTGGGAGGCACATATGCAAACTGTTATAATTCCTACACCGTTCACCTGATTTGGATGTAAATACCCTCAAATTAAAGCTGACAGTCTGCAGTTAAAGCACATCTTGTTCGTTTCATTTCAAATCCATTGTGGTGGTGTATAGAGCCAAAAAATATTAGAATTGTGTCGATGTCCCAATATTTATGGACCTGACTGTATTTTTAGGTGTAGAGATACCAGAGACCGAAGTTTGTATTCATAAAAAATGCACTTATTAAAACTTCTAATACTCTATTTAACAGAAATGTTCAAGACAATTGCTGTCTACGTCCATTGTATATTGATTTTAAGAGGGATCTTGGCTGGAGATGGATTCACGAACCCAAAGGTTACAACGCTAACTTCTGTGCTGGAGCCTGCCCCTATCTGTGGAGTTCTGACACCCAGCACACAAGGGTGAGTCCAAAAGTTTCCTCTTCAGAAGAAGTGCTTCTTTTTAAGATGGTTTATGACTTAATTATTAGCATTTCGAGATGGTGTATGACTTAATTACTAATCAATCATGACGGTGTATGACCTAATTACTAAGCTTTCAAGACAATGTATGACTTAATCACTAACCTTTCTTGACAGTGTATGACTTAATTTCTAACCTTTCAAGGGGATGTATGACTTAACCACTAATATTTCAAGATGGTTTACCACAATTGTCAAATGCTTTGTTAAAAGAAGTTTCCCTTTGAATATAGTGTACCTGAGCCCTCATCCATCCATCTATCCTTCCATCCTAACCTTCTTCCCTTTATTCATGATGAAAGAGCAGCTGAAATGCTTCCTTAAAAACTTATACAAGACTATCCCTCTTTCATGATCACATGACCAGATGTTGAGGTGTTGATCACATGAACTCATCTGAAGGGGAAGATCAAATGAGCAACCTACTGCCCAGTTCTGCCTCAGTATTAATTCTGTAAGCCTTTCGGCTAAGATCACATGACCAGTGCATCATCCCATAACATTTTGCTGTTCAACATGAGCACTTTTACTGAGCACTAAGGTACTCTCACTGGGCAGTGAGGGAAGCTTAGCTCTGACAGATGGGATCTGACTTGAAATTCAGCTCATTGCAACAAAGTAACATCAAGGTTTTAAAGTTACACAATAGGGGCTTATGTGAGTAACAGAAGTAATAGCAGCAGGGCTGCTGTTAAACCATGGGACCCCATATTACCAGCCCCCCCCCCCCCCCCCCAAAAAAAAAAACCATAGTTTACTATGCTTCAGTTATGAATGAACACAGTGAGTGATAGGTACCAATCACTTATTGTGTTCATTTAAGAAAGGAAGGGGCTGGTAAATGTGACATATTTCTTGGACAGTCTCAATTCTGAAGGATCCTATTGTGTGCTTGCAGCTGCCGATGGGAAGGAGAGGAGGGGAGCCAGCAGCACTGTAGGGATGGGGGCATACAGGAGCCCTGGGCAGCAGGGAAAAAGTATGGTGCACAATGAGGGTGATGGGTACGGCAATGGTAATTACTGTGACCGATCCCCTGTATTGCTCTCTCTGCAGCAGCTGAAAGCCAGCTTTCAGCTGCTGCAGAGAGAGCCATACAGGGGGTCGGTTCCAGTAATTGACCCCCCCCCCCACCCACCCAAACTTCCATGACAATTACTTCCCTGCCCACCTCCAATTCACCCAGGTGCCTGGGCCCCTGTATAAGAGGACTGGTGGTACCCTCTTATCCATGGCCTTGAATACCAGACTGCTTTTGCAGGGTTTTTATGTTTCAAATTTTCCACATATCTGATTGCTTCACTTTGCAGGTTTAGTCCACCCATTTCTAGTGTCTAGATTATAGGTGGTAGTCTGATGGGATGAATTACTGGCTGACTACTGCTGCACATTCTTGCTCTGGTCCAGCTCAACTTGGAGAAGCACTTCAGAGACTACAAGGATATTCCTGAGTTGTGTTACCCAGTATGTAAAATAATCCTCAATGAGGAGCATTCAACTTCATTGCCATAACAGGTGTGCTGACCTTACCACCTGTGTCCCTGAAAGATATAGGAAACCGCCCAGGGGCTTACAGAAACTGAAATGTTATATTCAAGTAGATTAGCTCTTTGAAGATCAAGTTTTCCTTTGTAATGGTTTATACACTGAATATTGTTCCTTAGAACCACTTTGTAGACCCTTTACAATTCATATGCTATGAAGGACATAAGTCAAACATTCGGGGTATGTATACATAAGAAGATCTTCCATCACAAGGGAGACCAGCTCACCTTCAGTCCAGGGTCTGTTCCTTATTTTAATTGTGCTTTAAATCCTGACAATCCAAGAAATATGGTCCACACAAGGAACACTGAGGCTCAGGGATGCTTTATAAATCAGTACTTCATGAACAGGGGTATGATATGAAATGTTAATATATGTAAACCCAGTCACTAAAATCCCATTGAAGCTACAACATGTTAATGTAATTTTAAACATCACTGCAGATGCAGCTATAAGTGGAGTCAGGATAAACCTGCTGGAGAATAGCAACATTGAGAATGAACAAAGATGATAAAAAGGTGAAAAAACATAATACAATAAACATTGTTTATGACACACAGAGAGAGTTTTACTAAAACTGGAGCACTTAGGATCTGGTACAACTGTGCATGGTAGCCAATCAGCTTCTAACTTCAGTTTGTTCAATTAAGCTTTGACACTAAAACCTGGAAGCTGATTGGTTTCTATGCAGAGTGCAGATTTTGCACTCTCCAGTATTAGTAAATAACTCCCACAGTGTTCTAGAAAGGTACAGTGGTTGTAAACTTTTGCATATACCCAGTGAAGTGACTGGTCTCAGGTGATACACAAAAATGAAACAAATCCTCTTATATATGTTGTAACTGTTTATCTACAGACTTCTCTTCTCTACGGCCGTTCACAGTGCTAAATTTATAAAGTTTGTCTGAGCTGTCCAAAAAAAGTGGGTGGATAGCTAAAATTACACACTGCAGAGCTAATTGAGGAGAGCTCTGATAGCTGACTGGAAGGGAGATACCCTTTCACACAGCACACAGGAACAGAGCAGAGGCTGTCAATCACAGGCTGTACCTTCCCCAACACCTTTTTTCTCTTGGTGTCAGGAAAACTTGTCAGAAGCAACTCATGCAGATAGCAGAGGAATGGGACAGCAGACAAATGACACTAAGCCCTGGTTCACATATATGTGGCCGTGCGGGCTGTGTTTTGTGTGGGCACGAGAGCCCATTCATTTGAATGGACTCCTGTGCCCCGTGACATGCAGAGAAGAAGCCCCTGCACTTATTTGGAAAACTCAGCCCGCACAGTACGGTTGCGTTTTCCAGTGCAGGTGGCGTGCCATTAGAACTCGCCCGCGGGTCCGCATTCCTCTGTACGGGTGGTGCGACTGCATGGATTTTCGTGCGGATCCTGCAGCAGCACCACCCGCACAGATGTGAACCTAGCCTTAGTGCTCTGGTTTGAGACAAGTACACACTATAGAGGGATATGCTTTGTTCACATTTTATGTCTGAGACTTACAACCACAAGTTTGCATGTACTTGAGGGCATTCCCTATGTTCCTGTACCTATTCAATAAAGCATCTCCAAACCTGTGCATTCCATGTGCTGCCCATTTTTCTTGGACTATCTAATATACTGTATATCACTAGATTTCCCTGGCTTTGAGACTAAGCCCTTCCAAACTGTTACCTGCGTGTCCAATGAGAGTACCTTAGTGGGCAGTACAAGTGCTGTCATTGGACAGGGTGGTGGTGGATCCAGATCTTAGTGAACTGTTGGTGCCAGGTCTTAGACAAAAGACTTTTATTTATAAACCTTTATCTGGTAGGTCTATTTTAAACTTCTTCACATTACCATTACTAGTTAGATATACATGCTGATTTTTTGTTTTTAATTGACCGTGCTACTAAAGTGCATGCAAATCCTAAATCTGATTTCATTATGTTTGTCATTGTGCCTTTTATTAAGAAATAAGTATACCTTTTTATTAAGAAAATAGATTTGTGAATGTGTTTCAAAGTTTTTGAAGATCCTGCCAGTAACAGCACTTCCTCATAGGTACAGCATCACAGTTTGTAGCTGTGTTGTCAGCCTGCTGTGCAGCCCCAATGGCTGACAGTTGGCCAGACAGGTAGCCCATTGGCCAACTAAAGGAGTACACACAGCAGGCTAGCCACACTACTGCTAATTGAGAGGCTTACCACTGTCAGCCTATAATAGGAAGTGCTTTTACTGGCAGAATCTCCAGGTAGGAAATTTTGCAATAGATTTACAAAAATTGATTTTCTTATTAAAACTTTATACAGTGAGACATATTGGCAAAAATACTGAAAAATCTATTTTGGGTTTACATACACTTTAATTAGTTACATGCAGGAGTTTCTTACTTGCTGGACAGCTTTACAGAAAAGTGAGTAATTGCTGAGCAGAAGTAACAGTTTTCTCCGGATACTAACCCGTCAGAAATGTCTGTTGGGCATTTACTGTGCATGAGATGCTTGTGCAAGCACTGAATAATATAGCCACTGTGGCTGAGATGAACAGAACTTCTGTTCCAGTCTTAAATAGTCAATTGAACCAGCAGGAAAAGGTCACTTTGTGTTTTACTAACCTATTAATAATATCCTTATTAATCCATAAGCACCACCACTGGGTCACCTATTCACTACTTTTGCAGCAGCCAAAATAACATTTGTTTTATAAATAGCTTATTATCAAATTCCATCTCACTCAAATATTGTTCTTTACAAATGAAACTCCTTTTTATCTTACTAGGCATTCCTTCTAACTGCTTACGTAGCCATATTTATTCTTGTTTTTTTATTGCATATTTTATTTACACAATACTTAGAAATTCTACCTTGAAAATAGACCACCCTTCAATTTTAAAATGGAAATCTTACCTTCTAATTTTTTTGGCTTTAGGACATGGATAGGGTAGGACATGGAGGGGTTATAATCTCTATCATGTTTTTATTCACTGTTTCCATTGGGCAGATTTCAATTAACTTCTTTTATTTGCTCCCTTTCAGTCTGTTTGTTATATAATTTGGATAATGGCAAAAAATACCAGTTGATCATGACAGAAATCTTGTGAGCTAAAAGCTTACTATGCACTGATTGTACCAGAAATGTTTCCAACTCTCTTTGTGGACTACAGATCAGCGTTCCTCTAGGATGGGAGGAAGAAGATTTTGCACCATGCAGTTTTAGTAAATAACCCCCACACTGTCAAGGGAACTTTGGCTTCCAAGGATTAAGGCTTATGAAGTGACAAGACTATACCACCGTTAATGTTATGGCAAGGCAAAAATAATTTGGCAGTAGGGATGAGTTTGGTTCAGTCCCCCTGCTAATTAAACAGCACCCTTGGGAAGCTGTCAATTGATCACATTCTCGCTGGCCCAATCAGCTGGGAATTCCCCCCATCATTGACCTATTATGGCCACATGGCCATATTAGGTCAAGGTCATTGTCCTAGAATGGTCATGTGGCCATATTAGGAAATGCCCCAGACACAGCTGCTTGGGCAGGTGAGATGCGATCATACAAAGTCATTCACAACTCTGCCCCAAGCTATATCACCAGTTTTGTCTCCAAATACTGTATAACCAAAACCATCCACTCCACTGCTCTCAAACTCCCTTGTCTCCCTCTCCCATGCTTATCTCCAGGAGCCTCTCCCATCCTCTGGAATGCTCTACCTTAGTCTGTTTGGCTATCTTTTAGTCTGGCTGCCTTTAGGCGATCCCTGAAAACTCATCTTTTCAGGGTAGCCTATCACACCTCCAACTAACTGAACTTTTAACACTTCCATCAGCTCATCCCCCATAGTAATAACCTTTTGTACCACTTGCCCCACCTTATTAGACCATAAGCTCTTATCAGCTGGGCCCTCTTAACCCTCTTGTATACTGTTATATTGTGACTGTACTGTCTTCCTTTATATTGTAAAGCTCTGTGTAAATTGTTGGTGCTTTATAAATCCTGTATTATAATACTAATAATAATCATGTGACAGCTCCCCACAGGTTCTTCTGAACTGGGTTCGCACTGAGTTCAGAAAGAACCCAGGTGATTGCTGCTCAAAAGGTGTTTTATTCCTCACTTTATCCAAAATGAAAAAAAAAGGGCAGCACAGTGGCTAAATGGTTAGCACTTCCGCCTGGCAGTACTAGGGTCGTTGGTTCGAATCCCAACCACAGCACCTCCTGCCTGGAGTTTGCATGTTCTCCCTGTGCCTGTGTGGGTTTCCTCCAGGTACTCTGGTTTCCTCCAACACTCCAAAGACATGCTGGTAGGTTAATTGGATCCTGCCTAAATTGGCCCTTGTATATGAATGTGAGTTATGGACCTTAGATTGTATGCAAGTTGAGGGTTAGGGACTGATGTGAATGTACAATATATATGTAAAGCACTGCATAAATTGACAGCGCTATATAAGTATCTGAAATAAATAAATAAAATGTTTTTTTTATTTTATTTTACAATCCACTTTACCAAGCCTCATTTTTCCCCACAGGTTCTCGGTCTGTACAACACCATCAACCCAGAAGCCTCTGCTTCTCCATGCTGCGTATCTCAAGACTTAGAATCTTTAACCATATTGTATTTTGTTGGGAAAACACCGAAAATTGAACAACTCTCAAATATGATTGTAAAATCCTGTAAATGTAGCTAGACCTGCCATTACAGCATGTGTTTTTAGTGGGGGATAAAAACCAAAACATTTAAAAAAAAATGTAAAAATAGGGCTTGTTCAATCAGTGTTATCATGTAAAAAAGGGGAAAAAAATGGTACTAGTGTGAATTTTTAGAATTTTCTTATAACTTGCAGAAAATTCAAACCATTGAAGGTTTCATTAAGGGTTTTGTAGTGACTCAAATAAAGATCCTTGGAGAGGAACATTTCCCCCTCTCCCTTGCTGGTTAATGTTCCTGTGTCATGGTAGGAGATTTGTGCCAAAAAAATTTGATCTCAGTGACTGGCAGAATGAGCCCTTGTCTCTACACAAAATTAACTTGTTTTTCGTTAAAGTCATTCTCCTTCTCTGGTACTTTGTATGCACAGCTATAACGTGAAATATGTTGGTCTTCTTCCATGCCTGTGTCATATCCGGCTTTACCAATTACCCACTTTTGATATTCTATTGCGTGCAAATGACATCTGCACAAAAAAAAGAGGGAAAAAGCCTCACAATGAAGACACAATTACAGAAAAGAATGTCTCAATTTTTCTGAGCAATGGCGAACAACAGAGAGAGAGACATTTATTTAAAAAATAAACACTGGAAGAATTTATTAGTGTCATTATGTGAAAGAAAATGAAAACAGGAATATCCCTTTAAGTGCCGTTATTGCATCTACTCTTACTTGACCTGGCTATTGTGTTCTATTGGTCAGTCCACCCACCGCTTAGAACACCATTATTTTGCTGTTGATCTTATTTATTATTTTGCCATGAATTATGCGCTGAAATACAGACCAAACAAATAGCTCAGATCAAATAATTGATATCATTGTTTTTTTAGGTTACAGGTGTACTTTTGTGATGAATGCATCATTTTAGGTGTAGCTCTATCCAAAGCTGTTTAGGATGGGCAGTGGTGGTTATCTTGCTCCCACTGGTTTCTTTAAACATGTGGGGACACGAGTGGGGAGGTCCTCCTCTGAGATTCTGTCTCTGGCCCTCAGCTATAGACTCACTATGGCCACCAAAGTGGTTTTGCCTGCAAGGTTCTATATTTATAGGCACAGGTAAAACTTTATTTGTGCATTACCACACTGAAAATCCATAGGTGGGGGGCTGGACTTCCTGTCTGGTCTCCGGTTGTTATAGGAACACATAAAATGACTGAAACCACTGGTGTTTAACCATTACAAAGATATTCATTTTGGATGGTCTTAAAATTTAACGATACTTGTTGCCTATATGCAGTTGATGAAGCTGTACAATGGACTACAAGAATGCAGCTAACAGTTGAAGAAATGAGCTCTCATCTATGCTATAATAAAAAATTGCGTTCACTTTTGGGGAAGCTATTTATAAACAGATACTGAGAACTAGCAAAAAAGATGGCTCATGATGGGGTATGTTATATTTTCATACGCAATGGTTCAGTCCTTAATATGGTTTTCAGAAGACATCTATACTTTCAACTACCCTATCAACTTGAGGCATCTCAAGATGGTTAGCAACAAAGCAAGGTTTGTATTATTCTTTGGTAAATACATTTTCATTGGAATTATTCGTTTACTTTAAAAAGACAAGATAAAGACGTCTTTTTGATGTTGAGATCACGTTGATACTGCACAACTAAGGTACATGGACATTTAAGGGGAACGTTATTATTTCATTTTTGTTAATCTTTCTTTCTGGCACCTGACCAATTTGAACTGCCTCAAGAATGGACAACAATTACATACTTCCTCCAAAAGTCTTGCTGTTTTTGTCAAGGCCCAACTTACCTTTTCTGGAAAACAAATCTGCATCCTATTGACCATGGCTCTTTTTTCCCAACACAAACTAGGCCTTAAACCTCAAATGTATTTTTTAAAAAAATGCTTATTAAGCAGGAAAAATTAAATCATTAAAGGGCATATAAACTCTAAGAGGTTGATTTACTAAACCTAGAGAGTGCACAATCCGGTGTAGCTCTGCACAGAAACCAATCAGCTTCCAGGTTTTTTTGTCAAAACTTATTTGAACAAGCTAAAATTAGCAGCTGATTGGCTATCATGCACAGCTGCACCAGATTTTGCACTATCCAGTTTTAGTAAATCAATCCCTAAGTATGTACACCTCATTTGAACCATTTTTATCTGTTAAATATACATTTGAAAGTGTTTTGTTGAATTTGTTTGATAAATGCAAAAAAATAGCTATGCCAGAAATCTTGTCAGCTTATAACTTTCTGAGCTGTCAGCCTGTGCTGCACTGTTATCAGTTATTCCCAGCTAACTCTGAGGAGTACAGAATCAACCTTCTCTATGTTATGAAGAAGATATGAAGGTATATGAAGTCCAAATCCAGGGAACAGCTTTTGAGGACAACTCTGCTTCTCCATAGCGACAGTAGGATAAATTAGCATTGTCACAGGAAGTGTGTTTCTGGCAGGATCACCAATGCAAAAAAAAAATTTACATAAGCTTTAACTCCTTTAATAGGATTAATTACCTATATTGCTTTTGGAATGGGTTGTCGAAATTTCTGTTGTCCTCAATGATGCATCAGTTGTCTGTTCAGTGGGAAAACTATGTTGTATAATTTTCTGCTGACAACCAATCTCAGAGCATTCTGTAGATATAGCCACATTCTTTAAATTCAAAGCAGCTTTTATTGTTAGAGGACCATTGATGGATATGGCTCCACCAACAGCAAAGCGTGGCTGACAGTTCAAGAGCTTATAAAGGCATAAAGATGCTATATAGTTAATACATATTATTTACAAATAAATGTCCCTTTGCATAATACAACAAATCAGAGGAGTTGGCCTTTCAGGTCTTTTTAAGGGGGTGGGACATAAGTTATAGGAGGCCATGGAAAAATTTAGGCCATGCCTTAACAATAGGCAGTGCAGTTCGAGCATATCAAGGCATCTGCCAACCTTGACTTTATACAGGCCTGTTGGGAGGTCTTTGTCTATTTAAGTGATATGTTTGGTGTATATATTGCCTTTCTAGTATAAAAAGCACATCTGTAATTTTTCTGTACATAATAAAAAAATAAACTAAATCAGTAATCACCATACATTACAGTCTACGTAAAAAAAAAACATAATATGTTAATGCAAAAATCTCTGATTGTATGAGGCATTTGTTTGTTATTGTAAATTTAATTTAGTAACCTAGTGAAATATTTAATATGTACCGGTCTAATCAACAGACCTTTACTACGATGCTGTATAGCTATGCTATGTTTGTTCCAGGTATATGTAACTGTACCGATAGTATTACAATAGAGGAGTTGTAGCGTCAACTTTTGTTTGGAAACAGTTCTGTAGACCTCTGTTTATACTTTGAAATAACTGTGTACGTAATGTGTAATATGTACCATATTACAAAGTATTCTTCGGAAGCCCTCAGATTTTTTTTTGTAGTAGGCCAGTATAAGTTGGATCCTGTTCAATGACTTGCACTACAAAAGTTTTTTAGTATTTGCATCTATCTCATTGATGTGCCATACAATATCTAATGGTTGTAGATTTTACAGTCCACTCAGGGGAGAACTAGGCTGGGGGGCAGAGGGGCATTTGCTCCCCTGGGCCAATATTAATAGGATATGTTGGGCTGGTAGCCCTGTCAGTGATGCATGCTAGAAATTATACAGCTTCCTGCCTCCTATTTAGACCTGTGATCACTGAGTCTGACAGCATCTGCTTATTTTGCAGCTTTGGGCTATCAGGTAACAGAATGCTGAGTGTTGCAAAGGAAAGTATAGGTATATATGATATAAAAAGTGTAATAAGCCATTTATTTTAGTAACATCCATCTTTCTCTATGCCTACCAATCCAATAAGTCACTTTGGTTCTCTGCATTATGCACATTCTTTAGCCCACAAAAGTATGTCCCTACCATGAACATTGTTTGTTTTGGCTTTCCCCACGGCCAAAGATTCAGAGTCCTCTTCTAAATTTAATTCAGATAAAAAAGCCCATTTAATATTGGTTTTATTTTCAATGCACTCCACTGACCTCCTGGTGTCATTGATGTCTGTGCTGCTGCTGTCTGTGTCCCCGTTGGAGAGATTCACTCCTCTTTTTGTGCTAGTGATCATTGTGTCTGGAGCTGAAAATGAGCGACAATCCAAAATATGGAGTTGTCATGGAAATAGAGGGGAAGTCTTAAAATTGGGATGCTTCTTTTGGTGACAAGATCTTGTTCACTTGCTTGACTATAGACAAAAAAATAATGGAAAATCTACCCAATGGCACATAGATGGCAACACCTTTACAGAATGTTAACCTTTTTTTAATCTTTCCCAAATAAAAAACATTTGAACACTAAAATACCCTGGTGAATTAATGTAAAGGATGTAGGTTTGCTTCATGTATTATTCTTCATGGGCTCAACTCAAAATGTTTTCCATTCAGTCCAAACAAAAAACAAGAGCATCCTAATGTTAAAGTTTAAGTAGATAGTATACTGAAGAATTTTGTCCATAGGTGATAGCAAAAAAGTAATCTGCCAGTATATTTACATATCAAACAAAAGCCACTTTTTGGAGGGGGTGATGCATAGTAAACTAAGTACTAGAACTGAATAAAATTTATCTTGGTCATTTAGTGTCTTGGTGGAACTGTTTCCTTCAAAAATGTGATAAGACGGCAACCAGGATAAATGAAACACACAACCACTGAGCAAACAGCCAACAGACACTCAACTATTGGTGTGCCTAAGTACCTTTAACAGATCCCTTACATCTCACTGGGCACCATCATAAAGCAGAGTATAATTATGCTGTCTGCTCCCCTATACTTAGATTTGGAAAGTAATCGTACACTTTTACTGCTTTAGGCAGAAACCTACTATAGCCAAGTTCACCTTTGATACTGGATGTGGATGTGTCCAGTTAACATTTTTGATCCAGTGACTGATGTGGAACTGAAAGTTTTTTCTTTTGTGTTCACTAGAACATGGACAGCCAATTGGTGGCAAATGGACCAGATACAGTATTAGTA